CATCCCTCCCGCCACAGCCCCCCCCCTCCTGGGTCACCCACGAGAAGCCCAGTGTCCTGCAAGGCCTGAACCAGGACAGGACCTGCAGACACAGTACCGCCTGCAAAGCCCAACCTGGGGCTCGGAGCCCTGACCCTAGCTTGGGGCCCTGCACAGCCCTGTCCCACCCCAGCCCCTGCTCACCCTGAGGGGCTGGGAGAACTGCTGCAGGGTGGGGAAGGAGATGGGGTCCGGCCACGGCTCTCCAGGCCAGCGGAGGCCACCAGTGAGCTCCTGGCAGGGACAGATAACATAGACAAGGCAAAGGGACAACCGGCAAGGACCAGCATTTCCCTCTCCCCAAACCAGGAGCGGGCAGGGCAGGGGGCTCACCCGCTACACATCAGACTGTCCGGGGGGGGCTTGGCACCGGCCGCCTCGGCCACCAGGTCACCTGTGGACGAGAGATGAGTGAGGCTCGGCCTGGGTACCTCTCACATCAGGACAAGCGTCCACTCCACGCTCCTAGGCCACCTCACCCACCATGGCTCCCTGATGGCCCCACACTCAATTCCAGACAGTGAGGGGAGGCTCCAGGCAAGGAGGGGAGAAGGCAGCGCTCCCAAGTCCCCACTTCTGTCCCCCAACCTGACCGGACCTCAGGGCTCTGAAGGAGACCCTGGGTGTGCTCTCCATTCCCCAGCCTTCAGCCACCTCCAGGCCAGACGCCCAGGGCTCCCAGTCTGGGCCTGACCTCTGCTCTGGGACCCTGGGTCCCACACCTGCCCCATCAACCTCTCTCACGGCCCTGTCTCCCGCTCATTGCCCTCCTGCCCCTGCCCTGGAGGTCCAGGGCCACTCCAACTCAGCCCTGAGTCCCAGGAGTCATGGGATGGCCACAGGCAGCAAAAGGAACTATCAAAGCCCAGGGTCACGAGAGAAATGTTAGACCTCAGGACGGAGTTTTGGGTGGTGCTGGGCCTGTCCCTGAGGCCTGAGAAGCAGTGCTCAACAAATACGAAGCTGGCAGCAACTCCCTCCCTGGGAGCAGACGCTCCAGAGGGTGCAGAGGGCAGGGCCCGCCGAGCACAGGGACTCAGTCCACAGACCAGCCACAGATAACTGGGACGACGTGGCTTTGACTCCATAGGCAAGCTGACCTGGCATGGAAGCTGCCAGAACCACCCTGAGGGCACACAGGTAGAGAATTTCGCAAGCACGCACACACACATACACACACAGAGCTCACACCCGAAGCAACCCCTAACCCCTGACCTGGAAACTGGGCCGGGACCATGACGAAGTCATCCGTGTCGCAGGACGAGTCCTTGCTGCTGCCGCCGGAGCCCCGGGAGCCCTGCAGGAAGCCGGCAGCGTCGGCCGGGGAAGTCAGCGTCTTCTGGAGCTGCTGCTGCATCTCTCCCAGGGACTGGGGGTCAGAGGGGAGGCCACTGAGACTCGGCCCCGGGGTTGGGGGAAACGGGGCTGCTGGGTGCTGACAAAGGGCTCAGCATGCCCTCCTCCCCATCAGGTTCTGCGTGGTCTGCCGCCCGCCAGGCCCGGGCTGGGCCCCACAGCGAGTCACCAGATGCAGCCACCCAGCTCCCACCGGGCTCCCGGGGAGACTTCCCCGCATCTCCATCAGTCCCGCAAAGGCCTCAAAGGGGGGCCGCTCTGCGCTCAGGACATAGGGCATCCAACGTCTGCCCTCGGCGTGGGCAACGGCGGTCCTCCCTACCACGGGCCCTGGCGCCCCAGCTCTGTGTGCACCCCCAGCAGGCCTCGCCCAACCCCTGCTGAGGGGCTGGGGACACGAGCTGGGGGGCGGGCTCCAGGACGCAGGGCCACCCCACTGCCCTGCCCACACGTGCACAGCACACACAGACCCGCGCCAGGCAGGTCGGCCTCTGGGATGCGAGCGCTGGCGTGGGGGGCTACGAGAGCTTTTGCCAACTCGTCAGGCTCCAACGTTTCCCACCCCAGCCCCTGCTCACCCTGAGGGTCCGGACGTGTCTGTCCGCAGCTGGTGGGGCGGCCAAGGGCAGGAGAGCACCCCACCTTCCTGGGGTTGACAGCAAGGGACAGCCCTCCGCATGACTTGCACGCGGCGCCAAGCTCCGGGGGGAGCAGCCCGGGGCCCGGCCCAGCGGAGACTCACCGGAGGGGAGGCCAAGTGCGAGGTAGAGCTGCTGCTGGAGCTGCTGCCGGACCCCGAGCTCGGGTACGAGGGCACAGGCACGGGGGGGGCTGGGGGGGGCACAAGTCAGCGCGCGGGAGGCCCCCACCCCCAGCCGGGCCAGCCCAGCAGCAGCAGGGGCGGCCCCTTGCCCCCCGTGGGCCCCACCGTGGCCGCGGGGCCCCAGGAGCCCCAGGGGACTCACACTTCTTCACGGTGGCGCTGGCATCGAGGAAAGGGTGCCGGAAGAACTCGTCTGCGGGAAGGAGGACGGCAGAGGCCTGAGCAGAGCCCTGACCCCAGGGCTCCCTGGGGGAAAGATGCTGTCCCGCCCCCCCAACTGCCACTGGGGCCTGAGCCCCAGCAGGCCTCGGCGCCCTCCCCGGCCAGCACCGCACCAGGCGTGCAGGGAGACGGCCCCAGCTGGGGGGCTCTTCTCCTCCCCTGGCTGGGCCCCCCCCCCGCCTCATGGGTTTTCCCAGCGGCGGCACTTCCCATTGCAAAACCGGGGTTTCCACAGCCTGGGCTGCTGGGAAAGCGCTGTGGGCATCCGGGAGCTGAGAGCGGGGGGCATGCAGCCAGGAGGCGGCACGCCGACCCAGTGGGCCGTCAGGAGTGGACACACGCTGTGGGCCACCACATCATGCTACACGCTGTGGGCCACGGTGTGACCGGGGGGCCGCTCACCGAAGTCCATGCGGTCCTTGTGGTTCCGCTGCAGCAGGGCCAGCAGCAGCTGTCTCAGCGGGGCCGACGTCTCCCTGGGGATGCTGGGCGGGGCCAGAGACAACATGACCCGCCGCCCGCCCGCCCACCCGGGGTCAGTGGGGGGCGGGGGCGGGCAGGACCTGGGCACTTACGCGGGTACCAGTGTCTTGTTCCTCTCATAGAAGAGGCGAAGGTCCTGGGGGCTGCTGGCCTGGTGGGGGACGGCAGCGTGAGCGCCCCTCAGAGCCTCCAAGCCCCGAACGAGGCCAGAGCCCTCGGCCAAGCACCACAGGCCCTCCAGGCTCCCAGGGATGCCCCCTGCCCCCGTCCAGGCTGTAGACCACAGGCACCACAAAAGGGCAGCCAGTCGGGCCAGAAGCCAGGCGGCCAGGCCTCCCTGCCCCCCAGGGCACACCAGTCAGGGTGGTCTTGGGTGTCCGGTGTGACTGCATGTTTGCTTCTTGAAATAAAACAAGAGTCCATGCACCCCCCCCCAGCAGAGGACCCCAACATGAGCTCTCCCCTCGCAGCGGGCACCGCATGCCCTGGGGAGCACCTGGTTGGCACGTGTGTGGTCAGCCATCTGCGCTCACCGCACACCACCACATTCCAGGCACCGTTCCCGGCACCAGCGAGGAGCCAAGAGCAAGAGAGCGCCCCACCTCCCCGGGGGTTGACAGTGAGGGACAGCCCTCCGCATGCTCATGCAGGGAGGAAACAGCAGACAGGGAGGGGGGCAGGGAGCTAGGGGCCAGCCAAGAAGCTGAGGAGCCAGCTGGCAACAGCTGAGCGCTACATGGTCAAGCCAGGAAGTCCCGACGGGGTGTGCAGCCCAGCACGGGAGGCTCAGAGCCCCCAGCCCTCCGGAATCCCACTGCTGAGCAGGCCGGGGCTTTTCACAGGTGGTGCTCCCCGGGGCCTGACACCCACTCGGTGCCTCACGCCGGCAGGGCACGGCAGGACGGAGGGCACAAGGCTGGGTCCAGACGTGCACGTGGGCACACACGGATGCGCTCCGGAGCTCGCTGACTCCAGCCTGGCCTGCGGCAGGACGGGGCCCCACGTGACCGCGTGGTGGGGAGCCACGAGACCACCTGCCTCTCGTGAGCGCAGGCCGCGGGCCTGCAGTGCCCTGTGGCTGCGCTGGGACCCAGAGCCGAGTGTCGGGGGCAGGGTGCGAAGCGGCGGCCAGCCCACGCCTGGCCTGGGGCTCGCTCACCTGGAAGGGCGCCTTCCCCGTCAGGCACTGGTAAACGATGGTGCCGATGCTCCACAGGTCTGCCTTCCCGTCGTAATGCTGCGACATGATGACCTCGGGGGCCTGCGGGGAACCCAGCGAACGAGTCAGCCCCGTGGCTGGAAGGGACGGTCAGGCGGCAAGCGAGCTCGGGCGCCGACACCAGCCACGCGGAACGGACCGGAGCCCCCTGCCGCCCGACTGCCACGGGTGTGGTCGAGCACAGTGCGGCCCCGCCGGCTGCAGCCGACACGCGGCGGGGAGCCCACGACTCGCGCCTCCCACGGGCACGCGGCTGGGGCGCCCACCTACCATGTACATGGGCGAGCCGCAGAGCGTGGCCGCCATCATGTTGCTCTGCAGGTACCGAGCGAAGCCGAAGTCGGCTGCGGGTGAGGGGGCGCGTGAGGGGGGAGGCCTTGCCCCCGGGCCGCCCCGCACGCCTTCCCCCGCCGGCCCCGGCCTCACCGATCTTGACGCGGATGCTGTTGGGGTTGGCGCGGCGCCCCCCGGGGTTGGACAGCAGGATGTTCTGGGGCTTCAGGTCACGGTGGATGATGCCCTTGCTGTGCAGCAAGTGCATGGCGCCCGCGATCTGCTGCAGGAAGAGCCGGATGGTGTCCTCGCTCAGCGTCCGCATGGCTGCAGGGACAGGCGCCCGGGGTGAGGGGCCGCAAGCCCTTCGGGGACTCCCTACTCCCACTGCTGCACCGCGCCCCCGGCCCCGCCCCTCGCTCACACCACGGCGCACGCCTGGCCGGCCGCGAGCCCATCTGCTGCGGCTGCCCGGCTCCGGGGGTCCTCGTGGCCCTGAGCCGCCCGCCGCCACGCACCGCTGCCCTGTCACACCCCCCCTCTCGGGTCCCGTTACTTCTCCGGAGCCGCCCCCACCCCCACTGCAGGGGAGCCGCAGGGCCCGCCCTCCTGAGCGGAGGGATGCACAAACGGATGCGGAGGCAGCGACCAGGAGAGTGCCTGCCCCCCACCGTGGCAGGGTCCTGGGGAGGCCCACCCCTCCGTGGTCAGCCAGGCCTTGCTGGGGGCCCAGGGTGCTCAGGACAGCCCAGCACCCTGCCGGGCAGCCGGCCAGGTGCTTCGGGCCCCCTGCAGGACCAGGCGGCCATCAGAAGGCACCGCATCCCCACAAAGCACCTAGGGCCCTGCTCCCAAGGGGCCTTCCAGACCCATCTGTCCTGAGAGGCTGTTCCACCTTCCACAGCAAGTGCTGGGGGTACGGGAAGACCCTCCACCTCCATCAGGCTGCCTTGCAGGCTGGGTCAGGGTGAGACTGGGCATGCAGCCCCCTGGCCAAGGGGTGTCCACTCACTGTGCAGGTAGTCAGCTAGGTCCCCACCGTTACAGTACTGCAAAAGACCATTGGCACAACCTGGTCAACGGCCCTTCCTGGACCGCCCACCACCCCACACCGGCTCCCTTGCCCCCAGCCTCCTTCCTGGGGCAGGTGTCCCCTGCAATCCGTAGTTGAAGAGGTCAGTGGGGGGCTTGATCACCTCAGGCACCTGCCACGGCCACGAGGGCTCCCGATGGGGTGGCCCTACGCCCACGGACATGCACCCAACCTCTAACCCCCAGGTGACAAGGAACCGGGAGCCAGGAGTGTCTGGCCTCCCTGTCCTCCCAGCCGGGGCTGCAGGAACTCACCTCCATGACCAGATAAACAGAATTGGCCATCTCCTGCAGGACACAGAAACAGCAATGAGAGGTGGAGAGAAGCACCCCCCGCCCCCAGCAGTGCTCCAGGAAGCCTCTCTCGGCCTCAGTGTGACCCACGGACTCGGCACCCACGCCCTCGACACGCCCCCTGGGCTGCGAGCGAGGCCAGGGAGCATGGACAGCGGCCGGCTGGCTGGGCCCAGGGCCTGCTGTACCAGCGCTTGGCCGGTTGGGGAGTGGCCAGAAGACGAGGACCTGGGCTGTGATTTGTTTTTGAGGTCCTCTGCACTGGGCTTGACTGACAAGAACGGCAGCCGATCAGAGCACTCTTATTTGCCAAGTCTGGGGAAGAGGCTGAGGTCCCGGGAGGGGTGTCTGGGGTGGACATGGACACTGCCTCCAAGGGGCAACCTTCAACTGCCCAGGTCCCAGTCAAAATCAGGGTAAGCCCAGCCCTGAAGTTTCAACAGGGCTCAGCTTCACGTTCTACCCACCCAGTGGGGGACCCAGGTCCCCAGGAAGGACACAGTCGAAGTATGAAACCCTTGACCCACAAATCTCAGAACCACCCCCGACACCAGGATCAAGGATGCCAACAGGATTACAGAGAGCAGCGCCAGCCAGGCCACGGGGGGGAACACCCCATGTTTAAATGTCAGCACCCCCCCCAGAGCTCCACCAACAGAGGGTGTGAGTCCAGGACAAAGACAACCTGGGCAGCAGGAATGGCGGGGCGCACTCTCAGGGCCGGGGCAGGCAGACCTGCTCCAGCATGCCCCCACCCTGCGTTCCAGGCCTGTCACTGGGAGGGGGCGGGCCCGCCCCACTGGTCCCTCCAGGCCAGCTGCAGGGCAGAGATAACACAGGAGCAACTCCAGGAGAGTCCCAGGTCACAGGCCTGGGCCAGAGGGGCGGGACGCAGAGAGCGCACCACGGAGGGAGGGAGGGGCTGCCGGAGGGGAGTGGGAGGCTGGCAGGCAGAGGACCCAGGAGAGGGCAGAGGGCGGGCGGGAGGTGAGGACCTAGGAGGGGCAGCACTCGGCCCTCTGTGCTGGGCGCGCCCCACAATTATTCCTCACCAGTCAGCTCCGGGGAGCACTATGAGCATTCTGGTCTCAAGTGGCCCAGAGAAGCTAAGTCCCTTGCCCTGGGCCACACAGCAGAGGGGCAGAGCTGGGAGTCAGGCCCAGGAACGTCCAGAAGAGCCCCAAACTCACCCCGCTGAGCCAGGACAGGCAGGGACAGAGTGACAGACAATATAGAGACAGAGTGTCCCCAGGGAGTGACCCACCAGGACTGGCAGAGATGCCAGGGCTGCGTGGGAGCAGTGAGAGCAGACCCCTGGCCTGCCTCTCTCTCCCGCAAATCTGGGAGTGCCCCAGACCCCACAACCGCCTCCCCTGAAAAGAAGGCCCCCACAGCAGAAGTGACGAGAGCCCCCTTTGTACTCAAGAGCCCGCAGGACCCCCAACAGGGCCTAGGCCCTGCTCCCACCCCTGCCCCCACACCTGAGCCACAGCAGGCTTCCAAAGGGGATGGTGGATGCCCTCCCTCCAAAGATCCCACCCCACAGGCCCTAGAGGCCCCTGGCTCCTACCCGCCCCTGCGCATCCCCCAGCCCCACTGGCCCACTGTTCCTAGTGCTCCCCAGGGCCTCCCTCCTCCCCACAGGTCACAACTTATCGCCTCCCCAAAGGCCTCCTGTCCTGAGAACACCCTGAAGCCTCCCCGAGGCTTGTGGATCCTCAGTGGACAGTCCGTTAGCAGCGGGCCAGAGGGCCACCGGGGCCATGGGGACCTAGCCTCCTCCTCCCCACTCTGATCTGTCCCTCCGCCTGTGGCCTAGGATCAGCCTCACCCCCAGCAGGCCCTCCCAGGCGTGGAACACAAGAGGGCCAGCAGGGAAAGAACACAGCAGGGCTGGGGCCAAGGGTGGGGAGCCAAGCCAACCTCGCATGGGGCATTCAGGCTTGGGGTGACCCAGGGAAGCCAGACTGGGGTCTCCCACGACCCCGAGCCAGAGGATAGCTTCAGACCAGCCCCTTCCTGCTGGCCTCTCTCGCCCCACCTGTGACACCCTAACTCCACTGGCAGGCACAGCCCGGGCCAGTTCCCAGGCGAGGTCAGGAAGCACGCCCAGGCCTGGGAAGGAGAAGGCAGCTCGAGTGTGTCCTCAGCCTGCCCCTGTGCCAACAGCAAGCCAGGTCCTAAGAGAGCCCAGCAGCATGGCTGCCAGCCCTGACAGGGACCAGGAGAAGGCCCGGGCAGCATGTCTCCCTGCCCCTGGGTGGGGCACCTTTCCAGACAGGCTCCATGCCCAGGCCCCTCCCAGGGCCTGCTGCCCCATCCACCTGGGGCCACGCTGTCCATCACTGCTGGGTAGCCCCCATCCCTCCCAGGGAAGCCAGCTCTCTGGGCCCCACCCCGGTGGGGAGAGTGGTCAGCACTCCCTGGGTGGCCACGGCTGACCTGCCCCTGCCCAGCTCACTGCCCACCCACAACCCCACTGGGCCTCGGGTGCCACTCCTGCTGGCCTCCACACAGCTACACTTGGTTTGCACTGGCTCCCTTGGGAGTGAGCAGAGACCACATAGGCTCCAGGCACCGAGCCCCCTCCCTGGGGTCGGTCTAGATTCAGTCTACACACTTGAAATGACCAGGATCGCTTCCCTCCTGGAGGAGGCAGATGGGAACTGGTGGCCTACTCTCACCCTCAGGTGGCAGGTTCTCAGAAGCTCATTATAACGTTAAGATGGAAACGTGAACGTGGCCAAAGCAAGGGCCCTCCAGACCCCGTGACCTAGGGGGAGCGCACCAGGGCCGTCCTCACAGCCCCACGGCCAGCTACCCCCACACCGCAGTGCCCTGCTGCCCTAGGGACATGGCGGGTCCCGTCCGTGTCACAGCCCACCCCAGGGGAGGAAACAGGACACGGTCACACGGGGGCACGGGAGGTTGGGCAAGGGAGGGGCAGAGCTGGGCGGGAACCCTCAGTCCAGACCACCCCACCGTGCAGCCCCCAAGAAAGGGGGTGATGAATCCCAGCCTGAGCACCTGACGTGCACAACAAGGCAAAGCCTTACAAGGAGATGAAATGGAGCCCTCTCCATCCCCTGGCAGGGTGCCCACAGGCCCTGGGGACAGGGCTGGCCCGAGCGTCACGGCCAGGTGTGCTGGGCAGCCTGGTACGAGCATCCAGGCACGTAGGAGGCCGCCCCGCCATGGGGCGCTAAGGTGCTTTGCCTAATAGGATCCTGGTAGGCAGGCGGGCTCTGACCTAGTTAACCCCTCGGACGCTGGCCCTCTTGGCTCGGGAAGGTGGCAAAAGCTCCAGTGGGGGCCAGAACACAGCCGCCCAGAGGAGCAGGGCCGCTCCCCGCCCCAGGCTGGGCTCTTCCAGCCAGCTCCCAGAGGGAAGGGTGCCCAGCCCCACCCTCCTTCCTCGGGCAGCCTCCTGCAGCTGCCGGCAGGCTGGCCCGCCCTCTGCGGCACCTTCCTGCCCGCACACTTGGCCGGCCTGACTCGGGACACAAGGGGAGACTCTCAGGGCAGGGGAGGCGTGAGCCGGTACGATCCCTCGGAAAACAGAAACCACGTGCTCCTCCCAGAGATGCACCAAGCCCCGGTCGCCACACACCGGTCACACAGCAGACGTGACCCACACGGATGCCCGCAGCAGCTCCGTTCTAGGGCACTGACCAAGACGGCTGACGACGGGACACCACACGGCCACAGAGCCCCCACACCCCCAAGGCCGTGCCGAGAGCACACAGGCAGCGAGCTGGGGGGGTCCAGGGCTCGGAGGCGGGTGGACCAGGAGAGAGACGTGCCCACAAAAGGCAGCGCAACGGACCCCACCCGCACGGAGAAACTCAGGGGCTGAGCTCCTGGGGCCAGCCACGTTGGAGTTCTTTCCTCATCTAAGTGCTTAACGAGGCATTTCATGATCTGCGTCTCCCACCGCCCAGTGTACGTTATACTTCAAAATTCTAAGTCAAAAAAATTTTTAAGTTAAAAAAGATAGATGAGGGGCGCCTGGGTGGCTCAGTTGGTTAAGCGACTGCCTTCGGCTCAGGTCATGATCCTGGAGTCCCAGGATTGAGCCCCGCATCGGGCTCCCTGCTCGGCAGGGAGTCTGCTTCTCCCTCTGACCCTCC